TGTGTGTGTGTGTGTGTGTGTGTGTGTGCGTGCAGAGTGCATCATCGTAATACTCGACCATTTGGATCAAGTTTCTCTGTGGCTTCGATCTTTTCAGGATGGGATGTCGTCTTAGGCAGTGTGTCCAGGCCGAGGTCTGGGCGCTGCCTTCTTGTGCACCTGACTGGACTCTTCCCGGGATGTCTTCTGGTCGCCATCCCGGAGACGCCTGGTGGGTGGGGCAGCAGCAAGGAGGGGACTGGGCACGTCACCCGCCACCTGGCTCACCCCTCAGACCCGCCCTGACCCCGAAGGCCAGATCACAAAGGTTCCGATAACTTTCTGGGTGTTGTTGAGGAAGCACATCCATTCTCTAGGCGTCGCGTGCGCTAGCTGGGAGCATGGGCCCAAAGTGTGTCAGTGGGCCGGCTGCAGGCCCCTCTTGGGGCAGCCTTGGGATGGTTGAGTTGTCCCCTTCTGTTGCTGCCCTAGGAAGGGTACGCGTGCAACAGACCTCACCCAACCTCAGGTCACAGGGAGTGTTGAGCGCCCTGCCCCCTGCCCCTGGAGAGCCAGAGGCCAGCCCTCTCCCCTAACCACAGCCTGATCTTGGGGTCTCTCCAGCCATTTCCCTCTGCCGGAAGCTGTATCCCTGCCCCCTAGCAGAACTATAGCACCCCTTCCCGTCCGCCTGACCCGGGCATTTGAACTGCAGCTGAAGGCTGAGTTCTTAAACACTTGCAGTATTCCCTGAGCTCCATTATAGGGGCAGGGGCCTTTGGGAGATGTTGGGGGGAGCTGGAGACTCTCTCCTGGAGGCCTTGTCTGAGCCTGAATCTCTTGCCTTCTGCTGGCGGGCCTGCTCCCAGAAAAGGGAGGCTTCGTTCCCAGCAGGATCCCCCTGGGCCCACCTTCCCCCAGGCATCGGGGCCAGGTCTGCCCACACAGCTGCTGGCCCCCCGGCCCCATTTTCCAGCCAGCGCTGGCTCTGTGAGCTTGTGAGTCTCTCCCTGGACTCTGCCTCCATTCCTGTGTTCTCAGGGAGCCCCGTGCCTCCGATTTTCCTTTCATGTTGGGGTCCCTCTGCAGCCCCCTTAGAGGTCCCCCGGTCCCTGGTCAGATGGGTGGAGAGAGGTATCAATAAAGACCAGTGTGGAGCCAAGCCTGGCTGGTGGCTGCTTCTTGCTGAATTGGGGAGGCAGGAGGGAGTCCCCTGGAGCAGGGGAGGGAGTGACTGGTCTGAGGCCTGTGTGGCTCAGAGCGGGTGCTGCCTCTGCCCATTGGCCTTCCATGCCACTCAGTGGGACCCAGTCAGTCCTAGCTCTCTTCACAGGAGTCTGGGGGCTGTGGGGGGGTGGGGAACCAGGGTAGGGCATCTCTAGGCCTGCCTCTCAGAGATGGCACATCGAGCCTCCCAGCCATGCTGCCAGCCCGTCCCAGAGGTGGAAACAGGGTGCCCTCTGAGGGGTGGGGAAGCTGGTGTGTTGGACGTTGGCACTGAGCCTTGGGCAAGTCACTTATTCCCTCCGGGTCTCACACCACACAGCCACCAGGGACTGGCTGGGGCTACTGCTACCAGAGAACACAGGAAGGGCCACGCCAGACAGGAGATGCTGGCACCATCACAGGCCCTGCCTCCACTTACCCAGCAACCACGTGTGATTCCTTTCTCGCCTCGAGGACACCGCTCCTTCCAGCCCTGCCTCTGGCCTGTTCTCCACGGCACAGCTCTGCTGGAGGTCTCGTGAGCAGGCACAGGCCTGGTTGTGTGGGGGCTGAAGCTTATACAACGTGGGGAGCCCTTGATTAAAAACAAAAAGCAAGAAAACGTGAATAAAAAATTAGGTGCGAAAGTGAATGTTTAGAATGGAAAAGAAATCAGCAAATTATTAGAGTCTTGGAAATTTGGTTTCTCTCTTGACAGAGATCTCTTTGGGTAGTTTCCTGGAAATGTTTCCCTAGAAATACTTCTTTTTTCTTTTAAGTTTTTATTTATTTATTTTGAGACAGAGAGAGAGAGCAGGAGAGGGGCAGAGGGAGAGAGAGAATCCCAAGCAGGCTCTGCACTGTCAGCACAGCCCTATGCAGGGCTCGATCTCATGAATTGTGAGGTCACAACCTGAGCTGATATCAAGAGTCAGATGCTTAACCAGCTGAACCACGCAGACGCCCCAGAAATACTTCTTAATTACAACCTGGCTTCACTCCCTCTAGCTACCTGTAGGCCAGTGGTTCTCGAAGTGTGGCCCTGACTGGCACACGAGGATGGCAGAGGAAAATACAAACTGGCCCCTTCTGTCTGCTGAATCAGAACCTCTGGTGATGGGGCCCTTCTGGTGAACAAAGTCTCAGCCCTCAGTTGGTATTGGACGGGGTTTCTATTTTTCATGGTGAGTATACAGCTTCATGGATGGAAAATGTCTTGTCTCCCGCATGAGCGCCTTCCCAAACACAGGGTGATTCCGAGCGAGTGCTTTGGCCTCGCCCCTGCAGGCCTCCCCACCAGCCTCAGCTCTGTGCCCCCACCCCTGGCCTCCAAGGCCCCACCTGACTTTGCCCCACCTCTTCTCCCCACAAGGCTATTAGCAGGAGCCCTCTCCTCTCCTGCCTCCTGCCTGCCTTTCCTCTTCTCAGCCCCAACAGAGAGTAGTCAAATCCTCCAGCCGAAATTCTCTGGGCCTAGAAACAGGTGTGAAGAAGTGATTCCACCTGGGGGAAGCGAACCTTCCAGGTGGAGGTGGTCAGGCGAGGAGGGAAGGAGGCCGGGCCAAGGGCAGGCCCCCTGTCCACGTGCCTTGTATACATTAGCAAGAGCTCCCCTGCCTTCCTCCAGGCACGTGCAGCCCCTCACCAGGCCCCACTCATCCCCTGAGCTGGGGGCCCTTGTGCAGAGCACAGCCTGTGGGGCCACCCATGCCAAACCTAACAAAGCAGGCCCCACAGACAGGGAGCCAGCAGCTGCGGAGGACCCTGGGGAAACACTCCCCTTCTGGGGGTGGGGGGAGTGCAGCACAAACCAGTGAGAGGACGCAGGAATGTCAGCAGCTTCTGCCAGAGGGGTGGGAGTTCTAGGTGGCAGAGGAGGGAAATGAAGAGCAGCCTTCCTGACTGGGGAAAGTCACCTAAGAGGCCTCCCCCTGAACCCCCTGGGTAGCTCGCTGTGGGCTCTGAGACCCCAGTGCAGGCATCACCCCACCCCTGTTCTCAGGGTCCCCAGAAGGAGGGAAGGGAACCAACCGATTGTGCACTAGTCATTTATTCTCTGAACAGTCCTGTGGTGATGCCCGGTGCAGAAACTGAGGCACAGAGCAGTGAGATGATGCTCCGGGGTCACTCAGCAAATGAACCCAAGGGAAGGATTTGAATCCAACCCAAGAGCAGGAAGCCCGTGTCCCTTCCTCACTCTGTACCACGAGGCCTGGGCAGCAGGGTGCCCACTGTCTGGCTGCACCACCATGGTAGGGCTCCCTGCTGCCTCCAGGATGGTGTGTGATGGGCCTTAAGTAAGACGGGGTGCAAAGTGCCAGGCACCAAGCAGGAATTGTCAGCCCCCAGCTTAGTCCCAGGGGAGAGAAAAGACCACCACCCCCACTCCCTCCCCAGGCAGGGACCCCCTTCTGTGTACTCACCGACACTTTCCCGGTGTCCACGGAGGGCTCCCAGGAAGGAACCAGGGCGCGTGTCCGTTTGCTACAGAGCATCAGCGTCCTGATGCAGGACGAGTCCTGGGGAGCCCTTTCCGCAGCCTCATTTTCTCGAAGTGAAGAAGTGAAACCTATCGCCCTTGCCGGGCGGTGGCGGGGCGCTGTGCTCGGGGAAGCTGGAATCTGACCCGGGCACTGGGCCTGGTCTCCATGGCAGCCGCGGATTTATTACTGGGGCCTCCACCCAGCTTGGCGGACTTTCGACTTGGAGCCGGGAGGAGAGGGACAGAACAGGCAGTTGTGGGAGCCGGGAGCCCACAGGCGACAGCCTGAGGCCCCGCGATGGTGAGTAGGGGGCTGTGTCTTCCAGCTAGGCTGCCCCCGCCCCCGCACTGGGGGGCGGGAGGCGCTTTCCTGGAGTCCCCTCCCTGACTGTTCTCCTCTCTCTGCTACAGGCCAAGTTTCTTTCCCAGGACCAAATTAATGGTAGGTTGGCTTTGCTCTTTAATTAGCAACTCACAGCAAAATATGGGTCTCATTAGGCAATTTGCTCTGCCCGTTTTTTTTGTTTTGTTTTGTTTTGTTTTGTTTTATCGGTGGGAAGGAAAGCGGCTGGTGGGAGAGCCGGGCCCACCCACAGGCAAGGGGCCGCCTGCTGCCGGGGACACCACAGCCGAGAAGGTGGGGGTAGGGCTCAGAGGTGGAAGTGTTGCTATGACATTTGTCGGTGTGACTTACAAGTTAGGGAGATAGGAGTGGGCGCCCTGGAGGTTTTTCTCCGGGGATCTGATAGCTAGATTTGGGAGGAGGGATAGGAGGTGGAGAGTGCGGTCATTAACTGCTTATGGCTAAGAGTCAAACAAAAGGAGCTGAGAGGCAAAAGAGCGCTGGTCTGCACTCTTGGGCAGGCACTTCTGCTCTCTGGGCCTCAGTCTCCCCATCTGTGAAACGGGGATCGGCTAAGGTGGCCTCTGAGGTCACCTGTGCCCTGACAGCCAGCCTAGTTTTGGAGCATTTACTCCCCAAGTCCCCTAGCCCGCCTGCCACCCAGCCGGCCTCAGTGTTGGCACAGCACAGCACAGCATGGTGTGTCCACAAGGCCAGGAGGGGAGATCTGGCTTACATAGAACTCAGGGGCCCGGACCTGAGCCAGGGGGTGGGCAGCAGAGCCCAGCTAGCAACTGCAGGAGCCGGAGGTGTGCTTAGGCTTCCTTGGGCAGGGATTCCAGAGTTCTAGGTCCCCGGAGCTTGGTCTAAAGTGGGTGGGTGGGTTGCAGGCTCCAGGAGAGCACCTGGTCTTAGATCGCTCAACATGCTCACCCCAAGAGGAGGGCCAGAGCAGGGACCTCTCTTGCCCAAGTCTGAAGGGCAGACTGAATGTTGACTCAAGGCTGGAGTCCAGCTGTCAGTCTCGTGAACCCCCCTCCACCAACCCACGCCTGGTTCCGAGGCTCAGTGACCTGTGGAGCTCCCAGAAGGGAAGAAGGAAATCCTCCCTTTGCATCCCAGTACCCGACACCGAGAAAGTGGCCACTAATGCTTAATAAATGAGAGATTGGGCAGATGTGGCCCGCTGGAGTGGAAAGGCCAGGGGTTTTGGAGGCAGTGACCTGGGGTCCAGTCACCCCTGAGCCTCAGTGTTCTCATCTGTGAAGTAGGGACAATGACGCTGACTCACCAGGCTGCTGTGAGCAAGGGACAGAGAGGAGGCCGTCATACACACGACCCTGGGCCTGCCTCGGGCCGGTGTCACCCAGACTTGCTCTAACTAGCATAAGCCAGGTGGTATAATTTTAGGAGTACTCTGAGCTGATTGTTGAAATGAACCATTACTGAGTAATGTAGCATCAAACAGTGTTCCAATCCCTGCATCTATACAGCAAATGTTTTAAAATAGCCCTATTGCAATCAGTAGTGCTGAAGATTTGAAAGAGGGTTCAGTTTCATGAATGTAATCTGTCCAAGGGTGAGAAATAGTGTAACAGTAGCTCACTTATCAGATTTAGCGACATTACATTTATTGGGAAATAAATGTAACAGCCTTGCTGTTTTGTTCCAGCAGGGGAGATCCAGTTCAGATCTGGCCTTCCAGATCTTTCAATGGTATATTTGTCAAGGTGGGAAGAAAGAACGTATTTTATGAAACAGTCTATTAGGCGATGGGACTCCATTTGCCCCTAGCCCTGCTGATGTCAGGGGCACCGTCCCAGTTACTGATCCAAGTGGGAGAGAAAGTTTGCCCATCTGTAGAATCTGTCTGATTCCAGGCCCCATGACCTGTGATGACTGCCTTGCAGCACTGGTCTGAAAAGCTGTCATAGGATGAGGTCTCAGAGGGCAAACTGACAGAAGACAAGGTGGAGTGGCCGTGAGAGGTCCCCAGGAAGGGCGCTGTGGGAGTTTTAAGGCCTACATGCAGGGCAGCCCCTGCTCTATCCCTCCATATAAGGTGATGGCACTGGGCCCTCTTGGAGGGAGTTAGGTTTTGCAGGAACCAAAGGCGGGATCTTAGGCCAGGCTCTGGTGCTGCTTCCCTGGGACACTTCAGTTTCTGCTCCCTGGTCACATATGTGTTCTGGCCCTCTCCGAGCCCAGGCTCTGGTAATTTCTGAAAGGGCTAGGCCTTCCCCTTCAACCTCTCCGCAGACACAAAGGCAACTAATTGTCTCTAAACCCCACCGGGGAGGCTGCCTTTTATTAGCAGCTCTGCTGAAATCCTAGGCTGCAAGGAGAGGCCTTAAACGGGGAACTGAAGGGGCTAAACTGGGGACCTTCCGTCCCTCTCCCCTCATCCCCTTCTGCCCTCTGGTGGCCTCTGCCTGGGAATCTGGGATCCAGAGTGGCCTCAAGGGTGGAGCTGAACTTCAGGAGCCAGGCCCTCAGCCGCCCAGCCTTCAGTGGCCCCCTCTACACAATGGGAAGGGTAGAGGTACCACGTTGGTGCATCACAGGGTCATTGCAGGATGAACCGGGCCCAGGTGAAGTGCTCAGTACTGTAAGCCGCCATTTTTTTGTTATTATGATTACAGGTAGGGAGCCTAGGGCCCAGCCTCTGAGGCACCAGCCAGGTGGTATGAAGAACAGAGGAGCTGGATGCTGAGAGGCCCCGATGGGGGGTGCACCACCCTGTGGGCCTCAGGGATTGGAGAGCCCCCTGGGCAGCTTTTGACCAATTCTGATGGCAGCCCCACCCAGCCTGAATGGGAATCTCAGTGGTGGGGCCCAGGATCTTCCCCAGCTCCCTGCTGGCCTCACTGTGCCCTCAGGGCTGAGAGCTGGGCTCCCCTGGGCCTTGAGACTGGGTCTAGAGAAGCCTCAGCTCTGGCAGCCATTGTGTCTCCCCCAGGGAGGAAGGGTTGAGGACAGCAGCAAGCCAGATTTAGTCAGAGCCTGGGACAACATCCCGGCAGCACCCCTGTCTTTGAGAACAGGACCAGGGCTTGTGTCAGAGGACAGCTTGAGGGTTCGGCAGCCTGGAGGCGGCGGGCTGGAGAGTGGACACAGCAGTGCCCACAGTTGTGACAATAACTGTCGCCACATAGGAGAGCCATTCTCTGCCAGGCCTTCCCAGAAGGGATTTCTGCTCCTCTCAGTAACCCGGAGGCATTATTTCCCTGGTTTCCCACATAAGCTGTCTTTGCCAAGGTGCCCTGGAGCCTGGACGCCCTGCTGTAGATTCCTGGTCTCCATGGGCTGGCCCTGGAGGGTAGGATTGCTTTCCTCTGGTTTTATTCAGTTAGGGAGGGGGAGAAAAGAGAAAAGAAAAGAGAAGGAAGGGAAGAGGGAGAGGCAGGAAGGGAGAGCGAGGGAGGAGACAGAAGGGAAGTCAGGAGAAGGAGGGTGATAGGGTTGCCAGATAAAATACCGGACACCCAGTTAAATCTGGATTTCAGATAAACAGCAAAAACCTTTTAGTATAAGTATATCCCATGCAAAATGCGGGACATACTTATACTAAAAACGTATTCACTGTTTATCTGAAGTTCAGTTTAACTTGGCAGCCCTGTAATTTTTTTTCCTTAAAAAATTCTTATTACTCTATTTTTGAATAGGCAGGATACACATAGTTAAAAAATAAGTAAAAAATATATCCAGTGTAAAGTTTCTCTCCCATTCCTATTCCTCAGTCTTCCATTTTCCTTCAGGCAATTTTTCCAATTATTTCTATCATTAAGTGGTATTTCTCTCTCTTTCCCCCGTTATTTGTTTTAACACAAATGGCAGCATATTGGATGGACTATTATGTCCTTTGCCTTAGTTTTACTTAGCTCTGTTCTTGGAGATTGTTTTGATTTGTGTATATGATTCTGCTTCATTTTTTTTAAACAGCTGCAAAATAGTACATGCTATGACTATAATGTAATATATTTAGCCAATCTTCCATTGATATATAGTTAGGTTGTTTCCAATGTTCTACTGTAACAAGCAATGCTACGACAAATATTGTCACAGAATAGCACAGACAACACATGACGCACTGAAAGCAGAAAGCCCCTGGTGCATGTCTAGCAGGATGTACATGGTCACCCTAGATTCTTTGCAACACGTGGTGTGTTGGATAGATGTTAGTGCGGCCCTCAGGATCCCCATCTCCTAGTAATCATGTTCCAGTATGATCCCCTACCCCTGAGTGTCGGTGGAAACCATAACTTGCTTCTAGTCAATAGGATATGGCAGCCCTGTATTTTCATTTGCTGTATCTGGCAACTCTAAGAGGGGAGGAGGAGAGGGAGTCAGCAAAAGGAAGGGGGAGGGAAGGGAAAGGGAGGACAGAGAGGGCATGGGGGTGGAGAGCAAGTATGTGCCGCTGACTCTCTCTTCTGGGCTGTGCACAGAGTACAAGGAATGCTTCTCCCTGTATGACAAGCAGCAGCGGGGGAAGATAAAAGCCACTGACCTCATGGTGGTGATGAGGTGCCTGGGGGCCAGCCCGACACCTGGAGAGGTGCAGCGGCACCTGCAGACTCACGGGATCGGTGAGTGGGCGCTTGCCGGAGGGGAATACACTATCTGGGCTGGTGGGTGGGCCCTGAGCCCGGCAGCTCTGGTCCTGGGGAGGGGCCCAGCAGGGGGTGGCCCAGAGGGTGGGGGTGCGAACAGCTCAGCTGGTGGAGGGGCAGGTGGGAGTCAGAACTCACCAGCGCTAGCTGTGGAGACATCTGGCCAGGGGTACAGTGTATCCCTCAGGCTTCCTTGAATCCTCATAGCAACCAGTGACCCCCCCACCCCCACCCCATCTCGCACAGGGGACCACAGGATCTAGACGTTCCAACTAGGTCATCACAAACCTGCCGTACAGATAGGGCTAACAGCGATCCCCCGTGTCTCCCTTCACTGAGTACTTGTCACGTGCTTAGCTCAAACAACTGTGAAGTAGGCATCATCCTGTTTCATAGGTAAAAACCAAGGGTCAGAACCATTAGGTAACTTGCCCAAGTTCTTAAGCCAATGGTGGAATCAGGGTTGGGACCTGATTCTTCTTCCAAAGACTGACCTCCTAAAAACGATGCAACACTCTGAGAAAAAGGGTAGAAGGAAACCCACCCAAGATGCTACCAAATTGTTCTCTCTGGAGATGGGATTAGGGATGATTTGTATACCCTTTATTGTTGTTTCTTGTTTGTTTGACAGTGGGAACATATAGGACTTTGATAACTAGAAACAAGTTTTATTTTTTTGTTAATTTATTTTTGGGGGGAAGGGCACCTGGATGGCTCAGTCAGTTGAGCATCTGACTCTCGATTTTGTCTTGGGTCATGATCCCAGGGTCGTGGGACTGAGCCTGCCATCAGGCTCTTCACTGAGCGTGGAGTCTGCTTAAGATTCTCTCTCTTTCTCCCTCTGCCTCTCTCCCCCACTTGCACATGCTCTAATTAAATTTAAAAAATAATTTAAAAAATTTATTTTTTAGGGGTGCCTGGGTGGCTCAGTCAGTTAAGCGTCCGACTTCAGCTCAGGTCCTGATCTCACAGTTCGTGAGTTCAAGCCCCATGTTGGGCTCTGTGCTGACAGCTCAGAGCCTGGATCCTGCTTCGGATTCTGTATCTCCCTCTCTCTTTGCCTCTGTCCCACGCATGCTCTCTCTCTCTCTCTCAAAAATAAACATTAAAAAAAATTTTTTTAATTTGTTTTTTAAAGAAACAAAAATAAGAAAACCCAAAAAGAGAGGTGTCAGAGGCCAGGATGGATGTTGCACTGGTAGCTGGACACACAGGAAGGAAAGACTGGCCCAGAGGAAGGAGGTAGACCAGAAAGAGCACTTGACCTGGAGCCCAAAGGCCTCGGTGTCTGCACCTCGTTGCTCGTCTTGCAGATGGGTTCGCACCACCTGCTAGGGTTACCCTGGGGTCCCAGCAGAGCATACCTGTGGCAGCGCTAGGAGCCCATCCTGGAGGCAGGCCTCTGAAGATCTGGAGCCTGGTGATGGGGTGCTTCGTGACTGAGATCCCCTGTTTCCAGCTCTGAAGGGGTGGTTGTTTCCTTTGGCTTCTGTCTCCTCCAAACAGGAACTTGTGGTGAGGGGAAGTTCTGACTTCCTGCACTTGTAGCCGGTCAGGGCCTGGGCTGAGGGGCCCAGGCGCGCCTGGAGGAGGGGCCTGGGCTGGGGAGCCTAGGCCAGAGGCTGCAGTGAGGAGAAAGGCAGGTGAGCGGGTGGGACTGGGGCCTGAGGTTCCAGGTGGGTCACCTGTGCGTCCTTGCGGATGTACTGCAGTGGCTGCAAGCATAGACGCGTGGGGTACCTCCCTCCAGTTCAGGGCAGGAGGGAAACACCCGGAAGAGGGGCAGAGGAAGTGTGCTCCATCCTGGTCCTGCCACTGCTCTGTGAGATGACCCCACGCTCTGGGGCCTCTGTCTCCTTAGTGGGCAAAATGGGCAATGGTAGCCATGGTCACTGAGGGTTACTGGGAGGACTGAATGAGGCAGATCCATGGTGGGATCTCAGCCGCATCTCACTATAACGCCAGCACCATCACGGCACTCCCTGAAGTAGGTGGCCCTTGAACTGGCCATAAAGACTTGGGCAGGGGGCCAGTTAGCTCTTCCCTCCCTGCTCAGTCTGCTGTGTTTGTGGGTTTCCCAGACAGAAACGGAGAGCTGGATTTCTCCACGTTCCTGACCATTATGCACACGCAAATAAAACAAGAGGACCCAAAGAAAGAAATCCTCTTGGCCATGTTGATGGCAGACAAAGAGAAGAAAGGCTACATCATGGCGTCCGAGCTGCGGTCAAAACTCATGACACTGGGGGAGAAGCTCACCCACAAGGAAGGTAAAGGCTTGGGTCCCTCCTTCCTAACAGCAGGGGAGGATTAGGGAGTTGGGGGAAGGACACCACGCCGGCAGGACTGTGCACACACCGCATTTGATGCATGCCCCAGACGGCTGCTCAGTGAACTCTGGAGCCCAGGGGAAGAACGAGGGGACCCAAGAGTGACAGAGGAAGTCTGCCAGGG